TTTTTTTTTTCAATGATATATGTCAAAAATTATTTTCATTAGAATATATTTCAACATAATGAGTGATATTGATGACAAGTATCTTGGTTTGATTCGAACCAATGAATATATGTTATCGTCTCCTTTCCTTTTCGTTCTTTCATACCTCGATGCATGACGAAGCTTTTTTTCCCCATTATATATAAATATATGCATAACATAAATGACCTTCAATGAAAAAAAAAATATATATATAACAAACAAAAAACACTTTTAGATCTGTAAAGTATTTCATCGTAGAAAATCAAGACAATAATGTCTTTAAAACTCGGTGATCAATTTCCGAACTTTAATTTAAAAACAACCGTTGGTCAACTTCAATTGCATCAATGGCTTGGAGATAAGTTAGTTACCATTTATTCTCAATGATAAATGAATATAAACATTTTATTTTTTCTTTATTTAGCTGGGGTATATTATTCTCTCATCCAGCTGATTATACACCTGTTTGTACAACTGAATTATCACGTGCCGCAAAATTAGCACCAGAATTTACTAAACGAAATACGAAATTAATTGGTTTATCATGTGATGCACTCGAAAATCATCACGGATGGATTAAAGTATATTATTTTACTTTGACGATAGTAATAATAATAATAATAATAAATAATTTGTTAGGATATTCAATCATATGGTGGAGCAAATCATGAATGTTCTGGTGGTACATGTAGAATAATCCCAATGGGAGAATTTCCATTTCCAATAATTGATGATAGTGATAGATTATTGGCTAAACAACTCGGAATGATTGATCCTGATGAATTTGATAGCAAAGGTTTACCATTAACTGCACGTGCTGTATGTTTTATTTTAAAGAAAATAATCTTATGTTTTTAAAAAATGTTTTTTTTTCTTTCAGGTATTTTTTATTGGACCTGATAAAAAACTTAAAGCAAGTTTACTTTATCCGGCAACAAGTGGAAGAAATTTTGAGTTCGTTATTCATTTTTTTAAATAGATTTTCAATTTGTTTAATATATATTTCTAGTGAAATTCTTCGTTTACTTGATTCACTTCAACTTTCAGCTCGATTACCAATAGCAACACCAGTTGATTGGAAGGTAAATATATTTATTTATCATTTATTTAAATAATTATTTCAAAAACTAAATAAGGTTGGTGATAAAGTGATGGTTCCACCAAATGTTAAAGATGAAGATGTTCGAAAATATTTTCCACAAGGTGTTGAAATAAAAAGTGATCTTCCAAGTGGTAAAGGATATATTCGCATGACTCAAGTTTAAAACAATTTATTTATTTTATTTTTTTTTAAACATTTTTAATCAATATATTAAAATAAATTCTATTCGACGTTAATAAACACATATAATGACTGTCACAATCTGCTCCCGCCTTGTTTAAATAAAAATAAATCAAAGGCGAGGCTAGATGAACAGTTTTTCTTTGTGTCTTTTAATATAATAAAGATTGAAATATATTTGAAAAGAGCAATTAGACTGTTCGCACAACCCAGCGGAACTTGTGTATCTTTGTTATATATTATCTTTTAACAAAGATTTTCTAACAGCGCGAGGTGTGTGAACAGTGTAGTCGCAAATTTTCATAGAATTGAATATGTTTGAATTAAAAAAGCAAAATTGAATATTAATCTTATCGGTAGGAACTGATCGATATGCTTCGCTTTATATTATTAATAACGTAGCGAGGCAAGACGAACAGTGACTTCCAAATAAGATATTATTTCTATGAACATATATATATCAACTTACTGTTGTCGTTAGTTAAATTGTATAATATATATTGTTTCTATTCAGATGAATTTATATAAGGTCGAAGGGAGAGAATATATTCATTGGTTAAATCAAGGTCATTGTTCTTGATTGGTTATGGTCAATGAGTGACCCTTTGCCCGGTCACTCTCCCTTTGTTTTCTTTTTTTTTGTTTTATTATTTTCGAGAAGAATATTCAATGAATGATATATTGATTGACCGCTTACGTCGGACGTCAACATAAACAAAAGGAGAGAGATCTATTGAATTTTTGTTCATTGAGAAATTTTCCTCTAAGAACCAATTTAAATAGAAAAGATCTTCATAAGATTTTGTTTTTTCTTAATGATTGAAAAAATTAATTCTCAAAAAATGTTCGAATGACTGAATTCTATTATTGAAAGTGATTAAAAAATAAATATGAAATATTGTTTTTGAATGATATATTCATTGTTGAAAAGTGTATATAGATCGATTATATTCATATGGATTTATTTTAAATATTATTTTTATAAAGTTAAAATCAATTGAATATTTTATTCCGTATGGCTTATTATTATCTGTGATAAATTTTTCATTATATATTTCTATAGATAAATGTTATTCTTTATGATATATTAAGCAAAAAAAATCATCTATTTAATCACCTTTCAATAGTCAAGTTCTTTTTGTTATTTTCTAAAAAATGTTTTTGTTTATCATTTGTCAATATGAAGTTGATTTATTTTAGTAAAAAATTTCTTGAATATAATTGTTTATTTGAAAAATAATGAATAAATTCATAAATTTCTAGTTGATTAGACAATAAAAGTAAACGATAGAAAAAAAAACTTTCCAAATAAAATAAAAGTCAATTGAAATCTGTTTGGTTTTGTTGAATAATAAATCGGATAGAGTAAACAAATTCACACAGACATTTTTTAATAATTTTTTTTCGAAAATAAATTGAACATTTATCCAAATTTAATATAGATTATCGTTAATGAATAAAAAAATAACTAACGAAAGAAATAAGAAGATGTTTGAAAATATTAATTTATTATTTTATCGATATATTAAGTTAAATTATTGTTTGTTGAATATATATGATAGATGTCATTAGTATAAAGAACGAATGAAAAATAAATAATCGATATTCGATATTTGAGATTTATTTATTTAAAATGTTTTTAAATCTAATGATTTTGTTGGTCAGTCAGTTAAGATAATATAATAATTGAAATATTTAAACTAAACGAAACTCAACTGAACGTTGATCTTATTAATAATAAATATGTTAACATTAGTTATTGAATTTGGTCGTCAACGACGAAAATTTGATTTAATAAATCCAATTGATATTAATTTACTTGAAAATAAAATAAAATCATCGTTTGGAATTGAAAATGAAAATGAAAATGAATATATAATACAAATATATGATGAACAAATAAATGATTATCTTGATTTAACATCTGATTTATTTAATTCAATTAATAATAATAATAATAATAATATAATTAAAGGTCAAATTATCTCACGTCAATTTAATTCTTTTCAATATCAAACAAAAGTAACAAAACAACAAGTTGTTGGTCTTATTACATTAGAATCAATTGAAAATTCTCTTCTAAATTGGTCACAATTACTTCAACGTATAATTCATTTCATTTCATATTTGTTTTTCTACTTAAATAATTTTATTTATTCTATATATTATATGTAGATATACAATTTGAAATTTCAAAAGAACTTGAAACAGTTAAACAAACAATAATTGCTGTTAAATCTCATGTAAAGTTAATTTATTATTAAAATTTTTAAATAAAATAAAACTAATTTAGTATAAATTAATTGATGAATCAAATACAGAAGATAATTGTTCTCAATATGAAATAAAACAAAATAGTTGTTCACCTTCAAGTGTTTCTCAAATTGAAAATGAAAATTTAACACCAATATTTAATTTAAATTCAAATAATGGTCAATTAATTAAACCAATTATTAATATTGAAGATAAATATTCAAATGGAACATATTTAAATAAACAAAGATCACAAACAAATAATAAAAATAATCGTCGAGGAACATTTAATATAAAACAATCAAAAAATAGAGATAATTATATTTATTATCCTCCATCACATATTCCATCAAAACCAAGTAAATAAATATATTGGTTTTTTTTATTAATTTTATTTAAAAAAAAAACGAAAATATTACTTTGATTAGTTGAATATAATATTCCAATAACAGTAACATATCAACGTTTTCAAAGTGGTGTTGATTTTCAAGGTCAATTATCAAAATATTATAATCCAACATATTTTTTTCTTCGAATTTCAAATCAAACAGAATCATATGATCAAATGCATAAAGATATTAAGTCAATAAAACAATTTTACTTTTTATTTTTTATTTTTCTTTGTTTATAATAGTTTATATTATAATAGTATTGATTCAAATCAAACTTATTTTCCTCAATCAGGAGAATTTTGTGTTGGAAAATCTCCTGATGATTCAAATTGGTATCGAGCTCGAATAATAAGACTTATTGGTATTATATTTATTATTATTATTATTATAATTGAAATAAATTTATTTTATTAGGTAATGATAAAGCTCAATTAATATTTATTGATATTGGTCAAATAGTTGACATTAATATTAATTTAATTCAACCATTAAATAGTAAATATAGTGATCGTCCAGCACAAGCATTAGCTTGTACACTTGCTCAAGTTTGTTTATTTTAAATTTTCAATCTTATTTCTATGTGTGTTTGATTTAAAATAAAAAAGGTTTTACCATTTACACAAAATGAAAAATCTGGATGGAATCGACGATCATGTATGAGTTTAGAAAATGCTATGAAAAATGAACGATTAATAACAGGAAATGTTTTATTAAAAGTAACTGTAAATGATAATAATCAAGCCAAATGGCCAATGATGTTTATTAATATATCAACAGCAACAATACCTGTATAAAATAAATTATTTTTAATTAAAAAATAAAATTTATTAATTAAATTATTTTAGAGTTTAAGTGAATATATGTGTGATTTATATTTAAGTCGTCGTTGTTCAAATAACGAAATAAGTGAATATTGGTCTTCAAAAATTCGTCCAGAACAATATGTTTTGTTTAATTTATCATCATTAATTAATCAAAAACAATATTTTATTTTCAATAATAATTATCAATCGAAATTGTCTTTCAATCAAACTATTGATATGATTGTCAATGATACCGAGTTTATTTCTCGTCAATAATTAATAGATTTTTTTTTTTTTTTTTTTGTTTCAATATTAACTTCATTTTTGTTCTATGTCTTTTTGTTATTATAGAAACAATTGATAGTGTATTTTCCTATTAAAATAAATAAATTTCTACTCAATTAAATTGATAATTAAATAATACTGTACATTCTAGACTTGACAAATTTCAGTTGATTTCATTTCAAATATCATTTTTATCAATGAACACAAGTATTTTTATTGATTTTCTGTAAGTTGAACAATGTTAGCTCCAACATCTCTATGATATGTTCTTCATTCGAATTGACAATCAGAGATCTTTAAAAACTTATACAAATTTATAAAATAGTGTTTAATTTGGTAAATCCTATCTATATATTCCTCGGAATAAAAATAATTCGACTCAATATTTTTAACATATCATTATTATATATTAATATATTGAGAAAATCAGTTATATATAATCGGATAGCCTGTGGAATTCTCTACAACTTCACATATGCATGTTTTGAATTGCACTTATTTATTAAAAATGAATTCAAGCACAACAAAGACACCCTCATTATCAGGTTCGCTAGAAATGTATTGTTTGTTTGTTTCTTTTTTTATCGATTTTTTCAAAATTATATATAATATAGAAACAATTTATATCAAAACAAAGTACATTATCTGAAAATGTATGAAAACCTCTATTATTCTGTACTTTCACAATCGAGACGAGATTAAATATTATTTTATCACAAATATATCGTATATTATTCTTATACTTTAACTTTTATTTCTATAGGTTCTATTTTACGTTTCGTTAGTCAAGTCTAATACACTTCTTTGTAAGCGTAATGACAGCTGAACTACACTAGATTAAAAATAAATTTGAAAAAATAGATAAAAAACAAATAAAAAATGCATTTCTAGCGAACAAGTGCAATTTAAAAACGTGCATATGTGAAGTTGCAGAGAATTCTCCGAACTATCCGAATATATAACTGATTTTCTCGAAATGTTAATTTATAACTATGATATGTTAAAAATACTGAGTCTAACTATTCTGTTCCACGGGGATTAGATGTACGATAAAGAATCAAATGGATTAATTATAACTAGAAACAACAAAAAACAAGTTCTTGAATGATATGATTAAAAAAAAACTACATAATCGCATAGCGATTAAAATAATATTGAAACAAAAACAAACACATAAAAGAACTTGCAAATAAATTAATGGAACAATGGATCATTGAGAAGAAACGTGAACATCTGTAGTTACTCTGATAGATGTACTTTATATTGTATTTTATAGATATGTTTTTGTAGATACTCTGAAAAATAACAAAAGAAATATATTGAAATAAAATAATGTACTCTTTTTTTTTTTTGCAGTTTGACTTTCTTTTTTCCAATCAATGATTGAACACTCATTGTTGTTCTTTGAGAAAATATTTGTTTTTGCTTGCTTTGATTTTTTTTTTGTTACTATAACTCATATGTATGAATGAGAAGACAGTGAGACAATAATTAGTTGTTTCTTACAAAACAGAGAAAAAACAATACTGAAATAAATAGACATCATTCTTATGAATGTGTTTTGTTTGGTTCACACATATACACTAATAATCAGACCTTCATTGTCAAAATAAAATAAAAGAAGCAATAGGACAATCAGATAATCTAACAACTTATCACAATTACATTTGTTGAATATCGAACAAAACGATGAAAAGAGACTGATTTTCTTGGACTTTGAAAACAAATTCATCAAAACAGCGAAAGAATATTTTGTATTGCGTGAATATTTATTACCTGTTAAAGAAAAGCTATCGGATATTTGATCAGATATCGATGATGGCTGACAAACATGCTAGTGTGCAGTGCAAGTGATTTTTTAACAAAACTATATTCATAATAGTATCCATATACATTATCAGCCTCCTAGGCTTAATCTAGTAATCGTCGATGTTTGGAAAATTACATAGCATATCAACGAACTTCATCAAATTGTATCAGAAATTCATTCCTATTTCACATCTTCATCGGTAACAAATGAATATTATCAAGTAGCGCAATAAAAGTTAGGATTAAGTGTGCTTATTTATTAATGATTTATCGCATGTCTTTGTTATTTTTATTTCTTAGTTACATATTCTAGGTGTAAGACATCATCAGACATTCGTTGGGATTCTCAATGGGGCTCAATTAGTGCTATATTACTCAGCTATTAATCAATTATTTGTGCACTTAAAGACATGAGCGGTGCAAGCTCAATTTTTTAGGGAAAGCAATAAGCTTTAGCATAAGACTATATCCCTCCTTCGAGCCGGAGTTCAAAGTTCGGCAGTAAAAGTTTTTTTTTTTTTCGAAATTAATTTCTCAAAGACATGGTATCGAAAGCCTACCTATTAATTTATTTGACAGCATATTAAGGCTTTCCCCCTCAGAAAAAGTCAATTTTTGTCAAAAACAATGAAAGCTAGGATAAATGCATGCGAAGATAGCTCGCGTTCTGCTCTTTCCGGAAACAACATGATTTTTAAATCGACATTCCGTTTTGGGGCAAAGTTCGTGACAACTTTTATCATCTACTTCTTAAAAAACTGGAAATGGCTTTGTTTTTTCTCAGATTATACTTATTCAAACGCGCAACCCAAATTTCTCTGTCCAGGTTCATTCAACGTATTTAATTTTTTTTTTTGTTTGAAAGAGCACGTCAAAACAAAAGACACCACAGAATCCTTTTTCAAGTAAGCTTTGTTTTTTATTATATATATAAATACTTATGTAAGTTGACGCCTCTTTTTAGATGGTTTTCTGAATTATTGAACTTGTGATCCCTTTTCTCCGCTTAAAATATAAGAAATTTAAAAAAGAGATTCTGGTGCCCTACATCCTGACATGCTCTTTCAAACAAAAAGTTGTAATATGTTGAAAGAGCCAGGACAGAAAAAAATGGGTTGTGAAATGAGCTATCTTTTGCCCTTATTTGGTTCATATCTCTATCAAACATTATGGTATAGAGCTGAAAATTTTACCATAGCGTCTCCACTTAAGTCTCAACATGCTCTGAAAGTTTCAGACGATTAAAATGTACTTGACCCTGGAATCAATTTTTGAAGAGAGAGGTCTTAAGAGTTTGAGGGTAGTGTAACGTTTCTGTTGCGAACAGATGTGTTCAAAACGAGTGAGCGAAACTCAAGTTTTCTTTGTTATTACCTTCCGCTCATCAGTCATTTGATTTTCGAGTTGATACTCATGTGAAACATTGTCTGCCATTTTAACAGTTATTCCTTCTTGATGAAATTATAAACGTAAGAATCAATTGAAAATATTTTGGTTTTCTCATTGAAACTGTTTATTTAACTATTTATGTTAGCAGCTAGTTGATCTCTTTATGAGTACGTTTTTATACGGTGATTGTGGACGAAAGCAGGAACAAGTAGAAATTTAAGTTACTTGATAATCAAAAGTTCAGCAAACATGGAGAAATAACATATGGATGAAACATGAAGAATTGGGGCAAGCAATAAACTTTTATTGCTTCACCAAATTCTTTTTAGGGGAAGCAATTGCTAACTCGTTGTTGCGTGCTGGTGCGCCGCCCATGCTTAAAGATCTTATTGATGAAGGTGATAATCATTCAGTTGATGCAGGAAGTATATTATCCTCATGTGATGAAAACCGGACAAAAACCGGCGGTGAACTGTTACTTTTTTCCGGTTTACCGCTAAAACTGATCCAGTTTTTGTGACATGGGTCGACTATACAAAAGAACCACTTTTTATTGTTACACTATTCATATTAAGTAAATTGTTTAAATCAATCAAAATTTTATCTAACTAGTTAGAAAGTAAGTATAATATCATGTCCTCTCAAGAAAAAAAAATAATTCTTTGCTTTAAGTAGCGTTTTCTTTTACAATTTAAGTGAGCCAATTGATTATGCAGAAAGTGAATAATTAGTTACTTCCGTATTTGAACATGAACACGATAAGAAATTATTTAAAAACAATTTATTAAGATATATTGAGTTTTGCTGATTAAGTATGACTTTGATATGAATCGTAAATAAAAGAAAACCGACAACTAAAAATTATACTAACTCGTTTCAAAGATAATTTTCTAATCAGTACAATGCGATATCCGCAAGAAATTTCCAGCGAGCATGATTATTGTGATAATATACATTATCAATTAATCGATGCAATTTTAGTTGAAGTGCATCATCGTCTCCCATCGTCAATTATTGCTATATTTTCAAGTGTTTCGTTGATATCTCTACAAAGTAAGAGCTTTCTAAGCTATGATCGATTGTTATATACCTTTAGCGAAACATAATTTTTGTGTTAAAAATCATGTTTCACGAAATACAAGTTCTTAAACCAATGTTACAAAGCAAAAAACCATTTAATGTAACTGAGTCATACGACGAAATGAATAATTACAATAAGCATTTCTCTATATGCTGTCAATGATTATAAGCGCTGAACTAACTATTCCAGTGTCATCGTTAACATGTGAACGTGTATTTTCAAAAAATGCATGTGGTCAAAACATCTATAAGAAATGTTGAACAAGCTATTGAACAATCTATAAAAAATAATCATAAAAATAATAGAATTATGCTTTATAAGTTCGATGCATTTTCGTGTTTTTATTTGTTTTCTTTCGCTTATAATAAAAGATTGAATATTTGAACCTCTTTATTGTTGTCATTACATTGTTCGAGAAGAAGTTAAGTCGCTTATACATAAGTATGAAAAAATTGGAGACTGAGTCCTCTCCTTTCTCTACGAGATTTGTCTGGCTATCCCCCTAGCTAGGATATTTTGGATAACTCTAAGTATTTTAACTGAAGGTCACTTTCGAAAGCTCTACCACTTTTACAGCATAATTTTGAACATTATTCCTATGTGAAATTATTTTTCTTCTTCAAGAGACTTCATGATAGTTCACGAACGAAGTCCCTGCTGTTGCTTCTCACTATTAGGTGTCTCAGGCATTCATCTTTGTATGATTTTGATT